TGTTAGTTAACTTCAACTTTTTGTAGTTTTGCAAAAAATTGGAACCTAATTGTGAAGTGTTACAAATATTAGTTGTATAATAATTGGCACAGTATTTTAGGCTTAGCACATTGCAGTTCATGGTAATATTAATACATTTTATGTTTGATTTTCAGGGCTTTTTTGTTACATTTATATATAAACAATACATAATTGCAATTTCGGTGTTGGGTCAGCAGTTGATGCACAGATCTGGGTGTTGAAGCAAAAACCAGTTGAAAACCACCGTTTTAATTATTTACATTGAGTCTGAATAGCTAACTCCACCCATCACTGCTCAGATATTTTTTTTTCCTTTAGTAAAAATAGGATTCTACTAAGACTTTGTGTGAATAACATCTGTCACAATTTGCACAATCTGTCACAAGATGCTATGGATCGCTATTTATACTTAATGCAAACAGTATCCACCATTCTTACACTTAGTGTAAATAGCTGCTGCTATTAAATAAGGACCGCATGTAAATAATGCTGGAAGTTTGAATCACCACACCCCCTGTATTACAAACCTTTCTTGCATGTGATAAGCCATTTTGGTGACTCTGAAGGGGCAGACAGGCCAATGTCATTTTTGGAGAACACACGGAACTGGTATTCTCTCCCTGTCATGATGTTACATGCTGTGAAACGGTTGTTGAAGATACAGTCAGCTACAGTGTGCCAGGTCCTCTTGCTGGAGTCTCTCTTGGTCACCATGTAATGCAGGCGATCATCGCGTTTCTCGTCTGGGGATGGTTCCCAGGAAACTGTCACCGTGCCCGGAACGTTCTCATCCAACTCTGCGGGGCCAGGGGGCTTTGGCTCGTCTACACCAAAACAATCAGTCGTAGTTCATTAGAACTGGCAGATCAAGCCTATTACACATACATTCCTCTACAGAGCAAGCTTGGTTGAGTATATCCATCTATAAATCTACACTACCATTCAAAACCATTTTTTAAAAGAAATTAGTACTTTTAATCAGCAAGGATGCATTAACTTAATCAAAAGTGACAGTAAAGATTTTTAGTGTTTCAAAATGTTCCTATTTCAAATAAATGTTCTTTTAACTTTCAATTCATCAAAGAATCATAATAAAAATGCATCACAGTTTCTGCAGAAATATTAAGCGGCACAACTATTTTTAGCAGTGATAAGAACTGTTGTTGGTTTTTTTTCGCACCAAATCTGCATATTAGAGTGATTTCTGAAGGATCGTGTGATGCCGAGGACTGCTTTGCCATCATGAGAATAAATTACATTATTAATTATAGTAAAATAGGAATAAGTTAACAGAAGCTTAGTGTACATTTCTCTTTGTGTTTTTTAAACACAAAATTTCTGAAAATACTTTCTACTGTCCCAGCTTAATATGTAGAGCCTATAAGTTATTCATAAGATTATTTCAAATTATTTAAATTTATTTGCAGCGTTATGTATGAAAATGTTCTAAACTTTCTGAATTTACTTTGTGAGTAATTTTTATGAGTAAACACACTTAAATATCTGAAATAGAAGTGTTAACCAAGTTATTCTTATAATTTCTGAAGATATGTTTAGAAATATATTTAGAAACGTTATATTGCACATAGCTAGTTAGTGGTGCATTGGTAGGATGCCTTGTAAAATTGGATTGAGAAGCATTTAGATGTTTTCATTATGTCATTCGTCTGGGGATGGTTCCCAGGAAACTGTCACCGTGCCCGGAACGTTCTCATCCAACTCTGCGGGGCCAGGGGGCTTTGGCTCGTCTACACCAAAACAATCAGTCGTAGTTCATTAGAACTGGCAGATCAAGCCTATTACACATACATTCCTCTACAGAGCAAGCTTGGTTGAGTATATCCATCTATAAATCTACACTACCATTCAAAACCATTTTTTAAAAGAAATTAGTACTTTTAATCAGCAAGGATGCATTAACTTAATCAAAAGTGACAGTAAAGATTTTTAGTGTTTCAAAATGTTCCTATTTCAAATAAATGTTCTTTTAACTTTCAATTCATCAAAGAATCATAATAAAAATGCATCACAGTTTCTGCAGAAATATTAAGCGGCACAACTATTTTTAGCAGTGATAAGAACTGTTGTTGGTTTTTTTTCGCACCAAATCTGCATATTAGAGTGATTTCTGAAGGATCGTGTGATGCCGAGGACTGCTTTGCCATCATGAGAATAAATTACATTATTAATTATAGTAAAATAGGAATAAGTTAACAGAAGCTTAGTGTACATTTCTCTTTGTGTTTTTTAAACACAAAATTTCTGAAAATACTTTCTACTGTCCCAGCTTAATATGTAGAGCCTATAAGTTATTCATAAGATTATTTCAAATTATTTAAATTTATTTGCAGCGTTATGTATGAAAATGTTCTAAACTTTCTGAATTTACTTTGTGAGTAATTTTTATGAGTAAACACACTTAAATATCTGAAATAGAAGTGTTAACCAAGTTATTCTTATAATTTCTGAAGATATGTTTAGAAATATATTTAGAAACGTTATATTGCACATAGCTAGTTAGTGGTGCATTGGTAGGATGCCTTGTAAAATTGGATTGAGAAGCATTTAGATGTTTTCATTATGTCATTTAATAACTTTTCTGAGTGGCATTTGCTGGGATTCCCAACAGTGTTGCGGATCATGGAAGATCATCCCATACATGGATAGATCAATGCTTGGTTCCAAAACTAGCACACAGATTGCTTGTTATTAAGTAAAATGTACAGTAAATGCATTGTTACTGTCAGGTCCAAAAACCCCATTGGTTGCCAGTATCTTTTCAATTTTGTCTCCCCAACATGAAAATTGTTTGAAAATGCTGCTGAATACGTTGTGTTATCTTGTCGAGGCATGGAAGTTATTAAACATTACTGAATATAGTAAAAAAAAATACTTCACCATAAGATTATTTCACCAAAAATTACGAGCACTTTGGCTCTGTGGTACACTACTAACAAAGCATTGCATTGTTATGCCAACATAGCAACATGGATTAGCCAATATTGTGATTTGGGGGCTTGACTATGTTTTTCAACCAATGAGAGACTGGGATTATTTCGGACAACATATTTGAACACATTTTTTCAATTCTACTTGGTGATGCCATTTACAATGCTATCTTTGATGACGAATTCAGAGACGTACACTGGTTCCCTCATTTTACCTGTAACTCTAATCTCAATACTGAAGGTCTCTTGTCCCACAATGTTCTTGACTATGATGGTATAGATTCCTGTATCGGAACGATCTGCAGAGGGGATCAGGATCTGAGAGCCTCCCTCAGCATTGCTTATAGTGGCACGTTTGGACACAGGGGAACCATCTTTAAGCCAGATGACATCAGGACATGGGGAAGCCTGTAAAAAGGTTATATAGGACAAGTATCGGACATGTGGCCAGTGCCAAATATAGTTTAAATGAGGGGAGTTGGAATGATCTGAAAAGTGTATGGGAAGGGAGCATGATATAGCCTGGCTCATGGATATTAATTAGGGGACATAATATTCAGCAAGTAGTCCCAAATTATTAATATTATTATACATTTTATTTATAGGCGCCTTACACGACACTCAAGGACACCGTACATCAGTAAAACAACCAATCATCAAACAATAGGGCAACACAGCCTACCTACAACTAAACATTACATAAAAGCCTGCCTAAATAAACTAGTTTTAATTCTAGACTTAAAAACCACATGACTTTGACTATTACGAATATCCACCGGTAGTGAATTCCATAGGTACGGAGCAGCATAACCAAAAGAAGTTGTCCGAGTGCGTGGAAGTACAAGAGTGAGTGCAGAGGCAGATCGTAAGATATGTGTAGGAGTATTTATACGAAGGAGATCTGATAAGTATGAGGGAGCCAAATTATTAAGTGCCTTGTAAGTTAGAAGCAAGATTATAACATTTTTGCTATATTTAACAGGGAGTCAATGCAGATTTTGTAGCACAGGAGAAATGTGCTTGGATATAGAAGTTTTGGAAATAACTCATGCAGTTGCATTATGTACTAGCTGAAGTCCATAAAACAAGGAATTACAGTAATCAATTTGTGATGTTACTAAAGCGTGTACAAGGATAGCAGTACTCTTTGTTGAGGACGAAGACGATTAATATTTCGTATATGGAAAAATGCAGAACGAGTAATGCTGTTAATATGAGCTTCAAATGATTAAGTACTGTCCAAGATGACACCCAGACTTTTAACCTGTTTATGATTTGCAGATGCAAGTCGAAACTACCTTTTTGATCAAGGAATCGAGGAGGGGGAACAGGACTCTGGACGACAGCAGTTATATTTCATCCCTTCGCACCGCAGACAGTATATAATGATTGTCTCCCAAAAAGTAACTTTATGTTATAAAAGTTCTAAACCCCTGGTTTGATCTCCAAAAGTACTGTATGGTTTTAGTATTGCCCATTACCTCAAAGTTGATGTTGAATCGTGCAGAATTTCCAGCTCTGACCACCATGAAGCTCTTGATCTTAGAATCTGTGAATCTCGGTCTCACTAAGAAAAACAAGACATTGAGTTAATGATGTGGCATATCCAGTACAGTTTTCAAAAATGCGAAATAGTTATCTTTCAGACCATATATAAGGTGATTCACCTGGAGGAGGCATAGCCAAGATGTAGTTATCCAGCTCCCGTGGCTCACCCTCTCCACCTTCATTGACGGCGATCAGTCTAACCCAATACATGGCCATTGATTTCAGTCCCTTTACAGTGTAGGAGGTCATGATGATGGCATTTGTGTTGCATCGATCCCATTCTGTGTTCTCAGCAGGCCTGACATCAATAAAGTATCCCTTGGCCTCATCCTGAACACCAGGCTCTTCTTTTGGTTTAGTCCAAGACAAGGACAAGGTAGTGTAGGTGGAGTCTGTCACTTTAAAGTAAATTACCTTACCAGGGGGTTCTGAGAGGAAATTGAGATGAAAGCATTTGAATTAGAAAGCATTGCAGGAGAAAATAGGGAGAAGTGCAATAGGAGTTCAAATTAGCTTGTTATTTTGAAGCCCAAAAAATTCTGACCTAAATCTGCTATTTTTGCATATCTTTGAGGGGAGGCCACAGTTCATTTTTCGAAATGTACAGCCTTGAGAATACTTATGCTGAATTCCTCTTTCCTTTTTGAAGATAATGAGCAACCTGAGAAATTACTTACTTTTGGGATCTCTGGCAAACACAAATTCTGAGGGGATACTTGGTTCACCAGCTCCAGAAATGTTGATGGCAGACACACGGAACTCGTACTCCATTCCTTCAACTACATCGTTTACAGCATATTTCTTTGCTGTGGATGGTAATTAAGAGGTAAACATTACTAGCAGGCAGTACTTTAAAGTAGCTCGTGTAAAAATGTGAGATACAAACCTTGGATTGGCTGATCTGTTGGATTGACTTGACCCCACAAGTTGCTGCCCTTCTTGCGTTTCTCTAAGTTATAACCCAAAATACTGGTTCCTCCAGTGTTGGTTGGAGGAGTCCATGCCAGGTTAATGCAGTTTTTAAAGGCACTGGCTACTTTAGGAGCAGATGGCTGACCAGGATATGCTGGAAAGTAAGACAATCCAGAGGTTTATATTAAGACAAGTCTGTATAGCGACTGACTAGCACAAGGCTACTCTGAGAGATTTTTTTTAGTAAGTCACCTTTAGTGCCAGCTTGCACATCCTCAGTCTCCATCAGTTCACTGATGCCCTCATCAGTCTCAGCTCTGATACGATAACAGTATCTTCTGCCATGGTCAACATCAGTGTCTCTGTAGTGGGCTTCACTTGGGATCTGGCTTATCTTTTTCCATGTGTTGCGTCCAATTTGGTTACGCTCAAGTATGTAATGTTTAATAGGGCAACCACCATTGTCTTTTGGTGGTCTCCACTTGACCTCAATGCAGTTGGCAGATGCTTCAACGATCTCCAGTGGTCCAAGAGGGGGGGTAGGTTTATCTAAATGAGATAAAAAGTTGTCAGGCAAAATGGAGAGTAAGTTTGTTACCAAACTGTACTGCATTCATATCAAAAATACAACCTGTTTAATTAGTTCACTTTTTGTACTCACCAAGTACCACTAGATTAGAAATGGCTTCAACTGTGCCAAACTCATTTTTGACTTTGATTTTTATTTCCCCGGTGTCTTTACGCTGTAATTTGGTGAGAAGCAGGCGGCTTTCAGCCTCTGAAATCTCAATCTTGCAGTGAGAGTCTGGCGTGAGCTCTTCACCATCTTTGTACCACTGGACTTTGAATGGCTCACAGCCAATAAATGGAATTTTGAAGGTGGCTTTATGATTGCGTTTGATCACAATTGGGTTTGCAAATGCTTCAATTTCCTTGGCATTGAATCTTGGTGGATCTTATCACACACACACAAACCGAAAAAAAAAAAAAAGTATAAACATGAAAATTTGGAATGTTTGCATATGTATTGGCACAAATGAGCAGATATTCAAAAACAAACCTTCAACAGCAATCACACATTCGGTTTTACGCCCATCAGCCTCAAATCGATATTTTCCAGCAAATTCTTCTGTTACTTTAGTAATTGTCAGTTTGTGAACCACTCCCTCTTTACTGATAGTCATACCCTCAGTGGAGGCAGTAATCTACAGAGAAATTTGAAGAACAGTTTACACATACACCATATATACCATTTTTCATATTATTTATACTTGTGGCTTCATTATACCTCATTGCCATCTTTGGACCAGACACCTTTACAGTCAGCATTGCTAAGTTTGCAGACAAGTTCAGCTGCCTCTCCCACAATAGCTTTGCAGTCTTCCAGCCCAGCAGAAAAGTGAACACCGGGATCTGCAGGTGATTTGTGAACAAAATTAGTCATTAATAATTCAAGCACGGTTATCATTTTGCTGCATGATGTTTGAGTTGTAGTCCACACACATTAATTGAGGCCTACTGTAGCAATTCTACACTTGTACACTTAGTAAGTACCATATGGACATACATATTTTATAGCATGTGTTAAAATGCATTAACTTTCATTTAAATGTGAATGAAAGCCAACAGAAATGTGTGAGAAAAAATATCAGGTGTATGATATCTTGCCATTGTCTTCAGCGCTGACTTCCTAGAATCCGAATCTTCTTAGAATCCATCATGATGATGATAAAGACCAGTTATGAAGCATCTCTGAATGGCTGGTACACATTTAACCTGACTTATTTTAGAAATGCATTGTACATACATTCTTTCTGTTCTAATAGTACATCATTATCACTCTTGGTTGAAGTAGTTCAGCTGAGATAATTCTCTGAATTAATAGTCACTCTAATTAAGCTTCACCACTAATGGGCAAATGATGGAAACCTTCTTGTTTTGGTGGTATTACCAAATAATGTTGCTGTTCTATTAGATTAATAAGAATATTTCCCCCCTTTTACCATTTCATGGTGTCTCTGGATACCATCCAAATTCAATTTGGTTCTTGTGCAGAATTTAGTTTAAAATCTCCAGGTAAATGCTGACTGAGTCACTTTCTTGCAACCCCAAGTGTTTTGACAATTAAAGATCTTGCTGCAATGACTTCTTCTGCAATTTTCACGTCTTCTAAAGCATATAAAATCTTTAATTTGTCTTCTCGTAATTAGAGTTTGTGAAGTCCTATTTGGCTGCATTTATTAAGATCTTATCATGTCCTGGTTCCTCTGATTAGTGAGCGAGGTGATTGGCCTTTAGCAAGACAAGCAAGCTTGGTGAAGACAATCCGAGCACATACTGATCTACACAAACAGCAGACACACAATGCATAAGAAATATCTGGCACATTAAAGACTGGGTGGATACTATTTTTTAAATACATTTATTGTTTATCTTACAATAAAACTGTTTTCCACAAATAATTGGTCCTCACTCAAATTACATACTGAGTTTTTTTCTTCTTTATTTTATTTAAATGAATAGTTTACTCAACGATGTCCTTCCAAACCTGTATATTGTTGTTGTTGTTTGGTAAATACTAAAGTTAATTTATAAAGGTTCTTTTTATACAGTTCATACAGGCTGTCTAGCGCAACAAAAGCAGCATAAATAAACCATATGATTTTTTAATACAAACAAACAAACAAATATACTGTAAAATAATTAACAAAAATAAATAAACAAAAAATTAAATTAAATTAAACAATTATTTTATCATTATTATTATTCACAGAAAAAATTATAACATACAGGTTTGGAATGGGATGAGGATAAATATATGTAAAGACAGAATTTTTCATTTTAACTGAATTATTACTTTATTAAACAAAGTTATCCAACGCCCACTAGCATCATGTGAAATAAACAATTTTCCTGTCTACTCAAATCAACCTAATTAAAGAGGTTGTTAAAGTTACTGACTACAACCCGCCTTGCTCAATACATCCCTGACTTATTTTGAGCTTGCTCATCAAATATGCCTTCACAATGTTTCAACAAGCACATTATGTCCAAGAACTGCTGATAGGAATATGCATATGCTTACAAAGCCTGTTCTATAGCTGTTGGACCCAAGGGTATAATCTTTAAATGAGCGCTTAGGACAATGAAACTGACAAAGTTTCTCAGTGGAAAGTTATCCAGCAAGTCCCAAAGTATGTTTGGTCCTGCGGAAAATAAGATCCAAAACATGTCCAGAATGGTTAAATTAAAGCTAAATTAAGTAAAAAAGACCTAAATCCTTCAGAGAGGCTGTGGTATAACAATTAAATCCTTTATAACCACCGACGTCCATTAAATAAGTTTTCTGATTAACAGTGTACTTAATAGGAATAGGAAGTGTTTGGATAACTTTGTATATTGTTCAGATGATGTGACTGAATTAGACCCAGAACTCCTACAAGGGACTGCAAAGTTATGAGTCTTCTGAATGACTTTGACATTTCCATGGAAGCAATGTCATTATTCAGTGCAACTTCAAACATCTCTTACCAACAACTGTCTCCGGAACCTGTGGGTCTTGCTTTTTACGGCCTGAACGCTTGCCAAATTTAGCTGACTCGTCCTTCTCATCTTCAGCTTCTTTTTCTTCCTCTGTAGCTTCAGTGCTGCCCTCTGATGGGCCTCCGGGACCTGGTGGCTTCCCTGGGCCTGGTGGGTCCCCAGAACCTGAAGTGCTACCGGACCCTGACGGGTTACTGGAACCTGAAGGGTTGTCAGAACCTGATGGGTTTCCTGAATCTGATGGGTTACCGGAACCTGATGGATTACCGGAACCTGATGGTTTGCCAGACCCTGCTGGTTTTTCTTTATCTGATGGGTTACCGCCACCTTCATTATTGCCGTTTGGTCAGTCGGTGAAGCATTATGAAGATTGACATTGATATGATAAAGAGGTTGGTATATATATATATATATATATATATATATATATATATATCACTCTTAATCACTGAAAATTAAATAGGTTGTTAATGTTACTTGAAATGTCTTTCTCATGATCAATATTTTATCAATCATTCAAGCAAAAGCTATTTGTGTTACTGTTGATGTTTAATGGAAAATATACTTTTTAGTTTAGTTAACTATTTAGTTTCTGTAATCACAGCACGTGATTTTAATATAGATGAGACGGATTTAGTGTAATCGCCCAAATTCAAACAACGGGAACCGTCACAATCCCACACTCTTACCAGTCACTGTGTCTGGTATCAGTGGGCCTTGTCTTACATGAGTATGGCCCTCGGCTTCCCCTTCCATGCTTACATCTGGAACTGTGCTGGGTGTGTTTGAGTTTCCTATCATGATTTTTGATGTAAACTGTGAATTAATCAGCACAGGATGTGCAATGCTTTGATTGTGTTGTGAGTATTTCCCACTTGAGCTACAGTAAAACACTTGTGCTGCTGCTTTTGCCGCTTCGGCTTCAGCCGCAGCTCTGGCTTTAGCTTCAGCTTCTACTGCCTGTCTTTCAGCCTGGAGTTTCTTAGCAGCCTCCAAAGCTTCTGCTATCTCCTTCTTGTTCCTCTCTGCATGCTCAGCAGCTATCTACGCAACAGTTTTGTAAAAAGTTATCCATAATGTAAATTTTGTAAAGATAAATAAACAGGTATCAATATTGTTGCTGAATGGAGTGCATATGTGTGTGTGTGTGTGTGCGCGCATACATATACTGTATACACACACTACTCACCAAGAAATTAATATTTTTATACAGCAAGGATGCATTATATTAATCAAAAGTGTCAGTAAAAATGTTTACATTGTTAAAAAAATAAATACTGTTCTTTTAAATACTTTATTCATTAAATCCTAAAAAAATAAAAAATAATAATCACAAAAATATTAAGCAAATATTAAGCAGCAAAACTATGAACGCAAATCAATAGATTAAAGGGATAGTTCACCCAAAAATTCTGTCATTAATTACTCACCCTCATGTTGTTCCAAACCCCTAAGACCTTCGTTCATCTTCGGAACACAAATTAAGATAGCAAAGAAAACAAAAATAACATAAATTATTCAACAATTCTTCTCCCCCGAGTTACATCTTCCGCCATTTCAGAGTATCACAACACATACGCACGCTTCCCCTAAGCATAAACAACGCTGATTACGCAGATTGCGTTCATGCTCGCACTTTCTCCCCCGAACGTAAACAACGCTGATTACGTCGAATACGTTCTTGGGTACTCTCCAAAATGGCGGAAGATGTAACTCGGGGGAGAAGAATTGTTAAATAAATTATGTTCTTTTTCTTTTCTTTGCATTCAAAAAGTATTCTCGTAGCTTCGCAAAACTGAAGTTGAGCCACTGATGCCACATGGACTGTTGTACCGATGTCCTTACAATGTTTCTGGACCTGGGAACATTACAGTTGCGTTGCTGTCTATGCAGGGTCTGAGAGCTCTCACATTTCATCAAAAATATCTTTAATTTGTGTTCCGAAGATGAACGAAGGTCTTACGGGTTTGGAACGACATGAGTGTGAGTAATTAATGACAGAATTTTAATTTTGGGGTGAACTGACTATTTAAAATTTTATGACTATGTCACGAAAATGCAGTGAGACTGGGTTGTAAATAATGTCTTGAGGGTCATATGACCAGAGTAATGGTTGCTGAAAATTCAGTTTTGCCATAACAGGAATAAGTTAAATAAATAGAAAATATTTATTTGAAATTGTAAAAATATTTTGTAATATTACTGTTTTTAGTTTTACTGTATCAAATAAATGAAGCCTTAGTCAGTCAAGAGACTTCTTTCAAAAAAATAAAAAAATATTGCTTTTGAACGGCATTGTACATAAACAATACTGTATGTATGTATATGTGCTGTATGAAAGTTTGACCTGCTTTGCTAGACTGTATATTTTCTGTAAGAACCAATCGCTGCTGAAATGTTACAGTACATATTTTTAAAATGAGAAATAAAAGCAAGAAGGAATTTGTATAGAGTAGATATATTTAATGTCTCCTTGTATAATTCCTTACCTACGACAGTCTCTGGTACAAGAGGTCCTGCTCTTTGACGCTTCTTGTCTCCTCCATCTCCTCCCTCACCACCGCTTCCACCAGAACCATCAGCTCCTCCGGCCCCACCAGCAGCTCCAGCTCCTCCAGCCTCGCCGGCTCCTCCAGCTCCATCAGCTCCTCCAGCTCCACCAGCACCTCCGGCTCCACCAGCACCTTCTGCTCCACCGGCTCCTCCAGCTCCTCCGGCTCCACCAGCTCCTCCGGCTCCACCAGCACCTCCGGCTCCACCAGCACCTTCTGCTCCACCGGCTCCTCCAGCTCCTCCGGCTCCACCAGCTCCTCCGGCTCCACCAGCACCTCCGGCTCCACCAGCACCTTCTGCTCCACCGGCTCCTCCAGCTCCTCCGGCTCCCCCAGCTTGTCCAGTACCTGCAGCCCATACTGTTCCTGCCACCGCTGCTGCACTACCTCCTACTCCACCTGCAGCTCCATCCTTCCCAAGACTTGCTGCTGCAGCAGCTGCCTGTGCAGCCATCGCAGCAGCTGCCGCAGCCCCTGCTGCAGCAGCTTGCTCAGCACTCAGACCTTCACTTAAAGCCTTGAGTTCAGCCTGCTTCCTGGCCTCCTCCTCAGCAGTGGCCTTGGCTTTAGCTGCTGCAGCCCGAGCAGCTGCTTCTGCTGCGGCTTTAGCTTCAGCCTCAGATTTACCTTTGGCTTTAGCTGCTGCAAGTGCATCCTGTGCAGCTTTAGCAGCAGCCGCAGCTGCGGCAGCTGCTGCCGCTGTTTTGTTGAACCATATTTCCACAGGATTCATACTGAAGCTCTTCACCTCTCAAGCACAACTCCATTCTGCGTGAGCTACCAAGCAAACCGACTGAACATAAAAACCCATACATATGAAGCTGGATATGTGATGCTAATTTGCTTAGAAAGTATCAGTTTTCAAATGTTAAAGTTGTTTTTAATTAATAACAATATTCCTCAACAGATTGTGCGAAAATTAGGCTTTATTAATCAAAACTGTGGACCTGCAAATTATACTTTGCGTGAAAATGAGTAAAAGTTGACTGAGTTTTACTGCCTCTAGCAACTGGAAACTACAGCGATTCATACGTATAGGTACATTTTTTCAGTTTTTCAGAAATTTACTTGGAGGCACGTATTTGCTATGAGACCAGGAAGGTAACAAAACAGTTGCTGTTCCCCATTGAGTTCCATAGTATGGGGGAAAAAAAGAGGTCAATTGGGACCAGAAACTGTTTAATTACCAATATTCTTCAAAGTATCTTCTTTTGTGTTCAGGAGAAAAAAGAAATGCATACAGGTATTGTACTGATATATGATACATGTGCAATGAATTTAATTAATCAGCATGATGCATTTAATTTGATTACATTTTTTTTTATTGATAGGACCTATTTCTACTAAGTGAAAAAAAGTTGTACTTACCTTCTATAATCAGCCAAGCACTGCTAGACTTAATGCCAGCTATAGCAGCATAGATTCCAGCATCCAAAGGCATACAATCAATAATTCTCAGACGGTGGACCAGTTTATCTTCAGAACAAGTAATCTCATACTTTTCATTGTTAGAGAGAGGTGTATTTTTTAGGGTCCAACTAATCTTACTAATGGGCTGAGTTAAAACACACTCAAAGATGGCATCCTCTCTCTCTTGGGCCGTCACCTCCTTGATCTTCAGGGCAAACTCCACAGGGGGAACTGTGTCAAATATGGATAAACACCTCAGTCAATCCATGGCATTATGCATTCTGTAAAAGCACTGCTGAAAAGACCAGCAAAGCTGGTTTTAAATTCTGGTGTCTCCACTTGGCTCCTTAACTAGCTTAAAAAGCACGACTTGCTTGATTTTCAATGGAAATACATTAGTTAAAAACTGACTTAGCATATAAATATTATTATAATGTTAGTGTTGCTACAACTGTGTATACGTGTTTAGAAGCAAAATACAATTTATATTAGCAGACCAGAAACATAACACGCTGACTTTGATGTAACTGTCCGGTGTGCTACCTAACAGATGCTTCCAGTGTAGACAGCTTTATTGATTATAATGGGATCGATTTAGTTTTGGGGTATAACGATGCCAGCTATAGCAGCATAGATTCCAGCATCCAAAGGCATACAATCAATAATTCTCAGACGGTGGACCAGTTTATCTTCAGAACAAGTAATCTCATACTTTTCATTGTTAGAGAGAGGTGTATTTTTTAGGGTCCAACTAATCTTACTAATGGGCTGAGTTAAAACACACTCAAAGATGGCATCCTCTCTTTCTTGGGCCGTCACCTCCTTGATCTTCAGGGCAAACTCCACAGGGGGAACTGTGTCAAATATGGATAAACACCTCAGTCAATCCATGGCATTATGCATTCTGTAAAAGCACTGCTGAAAAGACCAGCAAAGCTGGTTTTAAATTCTGGTGTCTCCACTTGGCTCCTTAACTAGCTTAAAATGCACGACTTGCTTGATTTTCAATGGAAATACATTAGTTAAAAACTGACTTAGCATATAAATATTATTATAATGTTAGTGTTGCTACAACTGTGTATGCGTGTTTAGAAGCAAAATACAATTTAATTCATACGTATAGGTACATTTTTTCAGTTTTTCAGAAATTTACTTGGAGGCACGTATTTGCTATGAGACCAGGAAGGTAACAAAACAGTTGCTGTTCCCCATTGAGTTCCATAGTATGGGGGAAAAAAAGAGGTCAATTGGGACCAGAAACTGTTTAATTACCAATATTCTTCAAAGTATCTTCTTTTGTGTTCAGGAGAAAAAAGAAATGCATACAGGTATTGTACTGATATATGATACATGTGCAATGAATTTAATTAATCAGCATGATGCATTTAATTTGATTACATTTTTTTTTATTGATAGGACCTATTTCTACTAAGTGAAAAAAAGTTGTACTTACCTTCTATAATCAGCCAAGCACTGCTAGACTTAATGCCAGCTATAGCAGCATAGATTCCAGCATCCAAAGGCATACAATCAATAATTCTCAGACGGTGGACCAGTTTATCTTCAGAACAAGTAATCTCATACTTTTCATTGTTAGAGAGAGGTGTATTTTTTAGGGTCCAACTAATCTTACTAATGGGCTGAGTTAAAACACACTCAAAGATGGCATCCTCTCTCTCTTGGGCCGTCACCTCCTTGATCTTCAGGGCAAACTCCACAGGGGGAACTGTGTCAAATATGGATAAACACCTCAGTCAATCCATGGCATTATGCATTCTGTAAAAGCACTGCTGAAAAGACCAGCAAAGCTGGTTTTAAATTCTGGTGTCTCCACTTGGCTCCTTAACTAGCTTAAAAAGCACGACTTGCTTGATTTTCAATGGAAATACATTAGTTAAAAACTGACTTAGCATATAAATATTATTATAATGTTAGTGTTGCTACAACTGTGTATACGTGTTTAGAAGCAAAATACAATTTATATTAGCAGACCAGAAACATAACACGCTGACTTTGATGTAACTGTCCGGTGTGCTACCTAACAGATGCTTCCAGTGTAGACAGCTTTATTGATTATAATGGGATCGATTTAGTTTTGGGGTATAACGGCGCATAGCTCACATCCAGTGTAGATGTGTTTTTATGTTGGTTAACCAGCCAGAGAAACACCAAGGCAGCTTAGAAAGGCATGGGAATCCGTGCTGGTCTTCTCAGCAGGAGGTTAACTGACAAATAGACAAATGTGCCTTAAAAAACATACTCTTGAAATCCGTTGAAAAGATATTGACACCCTCAACATCCACTTGATAGATTCCGGCATCTTCTGGATTGAGACTATTAACAGTGAAGATGTACTTCTTGCCAACTTGTTTTAGACCGTGCTTTATTTCGCTTTCAGTGTCTTTGCTGAATGGAATCATGATGCCGTCCTGAACAAAAGGGAAAGAGTAACTGTGATGAATGTTCATGATGCATATAGAAAAATAAAAAAAAAAAAAAAAGAAGACTGGTTCTTTGAATTATGATGGCTGAATAGGTAGCACTAGTGCAGTATCTTTTGAATAGCCTAAAACAGGCTTTTCATTTGAAAAATATCTAATGTCATAGTCAAGTACAGTAACGATAAAATCAACCTTCATACCTATATGCAAATGCATGTTAACACATTCTTTTTCCGATATTATTGTATACAATATGAAGCATCAATCAAAGCAAAAATTTCAAAGCAAAATCTTTAAAAAACTAAAACAAACATTAACTGAAATAAAATAAAATAGAACAAACTTTAAACTTATTTAAACTTTTACAAATGACAACAAAATGATTAAAACTTTAACTAAAATTAAAATGAACTAAAAAACTATAATAAAAAACTTAAATAGATACTGAAATAATACTGACATGAACCAATTTTAAGTGGCTGTTTGTTGATTATCACATACGATGAGAGCTCAATAAGAGGCATTGCTTTGTAACTAGCATTGATCTATTGTTCTAGTCACACCTTTTTTTCACTGGTATTTCACATCCTCTGATTCGCAGTTCTCACCTTATACAGAAAAATGCGGCTGTTGGGGTCTTTGAGCTCCATTTCCAGTTCAAAGGTTGCAGCATCCTCAGATTTCACCTCAATGGGCTTGAGATTACTGAGATGTTGGATGAACTAAAGCAGTGAAACAAACAGAACATAACAATTGGTCTCCAGATTTGTGCATCCAGTCATGAAAATGTGAAAGCAGTTTTTTGAGAAACCCTTCTGTCATTTTGGCAGTTCTTTATACCTGTGCCTGCTCCTCTTCTTTTTCCTTCTTCATCTTGGCCAGTTTCTTCAGCATGCCACGGAAATCAGTGATGCCATACTCGATGCAAATGTGCTCATAGTCTTTCTTCTCAGCACTCAGCAGCAATTCCCATACGGAGTCGTCAATGTCACCTTCCTTTTTCTCCTCAACTTTTTTGCCAGCACTTTCAGAAGATTGTAATGACAAATATGAACTTCAGGCCAAATGCTAGCACTTAACTGGGTTAACGTGACTGATGTTTTAATATGAGATGGGCTAATTAACTATGGCAAGAATCAGATGTATAAAGAGAAACTGCACTGCTGATGACATGGCATTAATGTGTAATGTAATGGAAACAAATGTCTCACCCTCTCCTGAGCATCTTTCTAAACTCTGTTGGGTCACCTGCTGGAGCTTCAAAATGCAATCAACAAACAGAAGAAAGTGAATGCTTATGTGTGCCATATTCAATGTCAAAGTATTCAAAGTATCCCATTAAATATTTTTTCTTTATAATCAACTGCCATGCTAAGCTGAAGAAAATCAGCTACCAAAAGGTTACAATAATATTACCTGTGTCAGCCTTTTGCAATTCTTTGCTCCTTTTGAATCCAACTGAAAAGAAAAAGAAAATAATTAGTTTGCAGCTATTTTCATGTATGAGTTCTACTTTCTGTGTGGATAGAATAAGAACTTCGTAATGAAAGTAACAAACAAGTAGGGCTTTTAAAATATGTGCCATACCTTCAATTACATTTAGGACAACAGTGCAAACAGCTTTTCCATATTCATTTGAGGCATAGCATTTGTAAGTGTCGGCTTCATCACTGCTCACTTGAGGTATCTGCAAAAGTAAATGAAAAACAGGTTGTGTTGATGAATCGTGGGCAATAATTGAATTACAGAGATAATGAAATGAACATTTAAAGGTGAGTGTTTAATGTCTGCTAAAGAGAATAGTTAGTAAGGACTGTTTCCAAACAGGTTTCTTGACCACTCCCCCCACCCTCTGCCATTTGGCCAGCAAACAGGAAGTCCCGCCCCAAAATTGTGCTAGTTGTTGTGACGATGATGCTGTGTTGGGCTGCTCAAACAACTGAAGCAAGAATTGCTGTGATGGCACAGGGCAACAGCGTTTACACTTTCTGCAGGAATCATCCTACTTACAGTCTCTTCACATTAAGCTGGGATATGAGAAGGTATTTTAAAATTTAACCATTACACACTTCACCTTAAATGTTAAGTAGAGGATTTAAAGTGAAGCTAAAAGCCTGTGCTTACCTCCAAAGTGTGTTCATTAGTTGTTGGGTCATATTTGTTCTGAAACTTTTGGGGATCATTAATTTCTCCTTTTGCTCTTTGCCAGGTTACAGCGGCTGTTGGGTTTCCAGTCACTTTGGCTTTAAAAATGGCTAGTTTTCCTGCATTATGAAAATTAAAGTTGTTATAGACTTGAGAAATACATTTGTATTAAGTAGAACTTTCAAAAAAGGAATTCTTGTGCCTTGAAATCGTTGTTATTTAGTGTGTCACATGTGTTTCGGGCTGTTAATTGCAGATCTTTTACAGTAATCAGTAAACTTTTGCTTTCAATTCTGTGAATATTTACCAGAGAATGTGTTCCAGTGCACTACTACTGAAACGTTTGGACACACTTAACTTCCATTTTGAAAAATGTTTTATGGTATATGCTTAAATGCTTAAAAAACTGATGTATGTATGATGTATGAGTATGAATTGAGTTGTGAATATCAAGTGAATATCAAGAGTGTGCAGAATTAGCAATATTTCAAAATATTATTTAATGGACCTAAGTTATCATGAGCTAACAATGAACAGTTGAACATTAACAAAGAATTACAATAACAAATGTATTTCTCATTGTTAGTTTATGAATTAACTGTCATTAACTAATGGGACCTTATTGTAAAATCGTACCATATTTTCTTTATTTCTTATTAGAAATTAACATGGTTAACATGGCTGACATTGTTCTGTTTTTTAAGAGACACTCTTAGTTGTATTGCAGAAGACACTTTGGCAAAATCAAATGTTTTAGATACAGGCAGAATAAGGGGCAAAACCCCATAGTTTGAAAGGTTGCATGTCATTAAAAACATAAATTAAGGCATACATTACACATTTGTGGTCTAGCATGAAATGGGATATATGCTATTTGATTTCTTTCCCTTGGTGCATATATAGCCGTGGTCACATGTTAAAGCTGGGGGACGAGCAGCAAACTTGATAAATCACTCATGTACTGCGTAAGTTAAGTCTGTGTAGCTGCACAGCTTGTAGACATTTAGGGCAGTAAATCTGTGTGGTAATCCTCTGTACGTGCGCCTAGCTTGTTAATTTCACATCCAGAATCATTTAGCTCTCAACTGTAGCCTCTAATCATATTTGCTTTCACTTTTGTAGATTCTTCTCTTTTAATGTGCTTACCTTCTTGAATGGTTAAAGCGATGGGTTTACGTGTGAAGTCTGGAGTTGTCATCCCCTCAGGAAGTTCCTCAATGTACTGTGTAATCATAACACCGGGAACCTTAGATCTCCGTTTGATGCCTGAGAGAATTCACATCCAGGGTACAATGTCAGAACATCAGGGGAAACGACACAGCAGGTGCACAGTGATGTAACATATGCTGAATAATCATCTGCACAACTGTAGTCTATGTATTGAAAAACATATTACAATCTCTGTACAAAATATAAGATATTTTTAAGTGGGGATCTAAGACATGCAATGATTGATTTACTTTAAATATACAGATTCATGTTTTGCAGATTCAAACATTCCTAAATTTATAAATAGAGGATTGAACCAGGGCTAGTTGTCACAGTGTTCACTCTGGTGAATATTTCTTAAAGTAGGTTTATTTTTGAACGTCAGTTTATTAATTGTCATGTCCTAAATTTACACCATTATCACTGAACACACTTGAGCTTTTTGTTGTCTTGTTAAACCATTTTGTCACACTTCTTAGGCATATACAGCAAAATAAACAGTATATCAATTGTGAGGGGAAAAAAAAAAATTAAGAAAAATGAAACAGCAAAAATATGAAACATCACACACAAAAATATAAGTAAATATTATAATCAATTGTACTAAATCCTAGCATTTATGGGACAATTTGCCCCAACAAACACCTCTGGTTAAACCACTGATATATACAGATATGTTATTATATTATATTATATTGATCAGTTGGTTAAACCATATATTGGTTATTTTAAAGAGACAAGCTTTTCTTAACATCCCATCATGTTTCAATACATCAACATTGAAAAGAAAATTGCTCAAGTCTTTTCACTGTGCCTTTAAATGACAGCAATCTGAACATTCATTTTATAAATAGCACACTGATGTGAATTCATATTGCTTATTTAACTGGATATTACGATATAATGGATATGATATATTACTTGATGTTATGCTGTATAATTTGATACATATGATATGTTATGTTATGATGTGATATGATATGATATGAACATATACTGGTTATCATGACATGCATGCAGATGTTCAGGTTGCTGTCATTTGATTACCTTACCTTGTCTCTTGAGAGGTAGAATTTCCAGTCCTAGTACAGTATAGACACAACATTACAGTACAACAGCAACGAAGGAAGGGGAAACAAAGAAGGAGAACACAAAATTGTGAATCCTGGCATTTTTTTCTTTGTCAGGTTTGAACGAAAGACAAAATTACTCACGAATACAACCAAAAACACAAGACAGGGGAAAAGACGGGGAGGTTAAACCAATAAAACATCATTATTCAAACCACTACACTCTTAAAAATAAAGGTGCTTCAAAAGGTTCTTCAAGCGATGCCATAGAAGAATGGCACATAGAACCATTTTTGGTTCCACAAAGAACCATTCAGTCAAAGATTCTTTAAAGAACCATCTCTTTATAATCCGAAGAACCTTCTTTCGCCACAAAGAACCTTTAGTGAAACAGAAAGGTTCTTCAGATGTTAAAGGTTCTTTATGGAACCATTTAGACAAAAAGGTTCTTCTATGGCATCGCAAAGCACCTTTATTTTTAAGAGTGAAAGTGGTTGAATGTGAGATTACAATAGACAAGACTAGAGAGAAAGCAGACAAACTGGAAAATAATTAAAAGTGTGAGACCTGTTTCACACAGCATACATTATCAGGTGATTATTCTGGTTACAGAATTCACACTGCTGCCTAGTGGAGCTGCGAGTTTCTGCACAACGCATATTTCGGCTGTGCGCGTGCTGAACCCATATATGGTGAATATGGTGAAAATATACGATAGGCCAATTTAGAAACACAGTCTTTTCAAATATGCGATTTTTGAGGTAATATAAATTACATGAGTGAACTTCTCACACCTTGTGAAAAGATGCAAGCTGGGCTTGATGTACGTTTCACAGTTAGCATACTATTGAGTAAATCTGACAGAATCAAGGTGATGTAAGCATGGCTAAATACTTGATTCTTTTAGCAACTTCCATTGCAACATCGTACCGTAGAGATATCAGCTCACGGCACTACAGTCACGTCTCGTGCCACACCGTAAACTCGCGCTTTATACAAAAGCAAATGGCGTCAATGTGAGTCACATTTATCAATAGCAGTGAAAATCGCCTCAGAGAACTTAACATATTAACATTACCGCAGCGTTCATCTGGTTGCTACACTGATTGTTTTGTACATTCTAAAGAACTATTTTTTCGTATCAGAAGTTTTAAGTTATACATTTCACTTTTTTTACTCTGCTTAAAATTGCGGTATGAAACAGGCCAAAATGGGCAGAAATGTTGTCATTGGGGACACATATTATCACTCATGATTGTAAAAAAGGAGGGGTTTATAATGAACATAAGAAAAAAAGAAAAGAATAAAAATGTCTAATTAAATAAGGTAAAATAAACCCCCTCCTCAAAGGAAATTAAATAAATAAAGCAAGTGAGAAATAAATAAAAATGGAAATAAACAAAAAAAAAATGTTAAGTGGGTGCATTTTCAATAAAAGGTTTAATCGTGAAATGCAAGAGCTGTTGTGCATACAGGTTCGATTCCAGCCTGGTCTAGTTTTCCCGCTGCTATTTTCTGACTTTATTTTCTGTCCTTCACATCACAGGCACTTCACATTCTGGTTGGTTGATGGTTGTCCCTCGCATCCATGGTTACAAGGTTCAAAGAAACCCTCACTGAATGACAGCAAATGCTCACGGGGCTGTTTAGTGAGCTTCCACATGAAGGGCGCACTAGGCACTGATTGCATAAGCCGTATTCACAGCCTCCACTTCATTTGCATCTTGTGCACAGTGGCCAGTTTCCAAACCCAGAACCTACAACTTAACCAACTATTTGATCATTTGTGTGTTTAAATAAATTTGTGTGGCTAGGTTAGACTCAACACTTACTTTTATCTCGCTCTTCTAACCCCTCAGGGACAGATATATTATTCACTTTACCATGGAGAGGAGGTCATTAGATTTTATCTGGAAAATCCGGCATTGCATTTTAACGCAGCTGCTTACTGTGGTAGAACTTTTCTAAATGAGACCCATGTCCTATCAAGTGTGTCAAATTCCATTGCTATACTCTCATCATTATGAATACAAAGAAAACTGATTAACTAAATGACATCTTCTGGGAATAGTGACCATTAAGAAAACAAAAAAAGGATGTTTTTTTCCACCATGTGTTTCTGTAGCTGGTCTTCATGGAGAACATGGCTGGATTTCTTGTTTCAGTAATTCAGTAATAGAGCAGTTGAACAAGGTTCGGTGCCGGTGTCAGCCTGCCATATGGGAGAGAGAACAATTATATTGTTCTTACCGCCTTGCCCGGCAGCAGTTGGATCTAAAACCTTGGCTTTTTTCATCATCTTGATGCAGTCCAATGGCTCAAGAATTCAGAAGCTTCTCTGGGTGGGAGAAAAGCAATATAAAAGGTCAATTCAATTTCGGTCTTAAAAGGTTCTTCAAGCGATGCCATAGAAGAATGGCACATAGAACCATTTTTGGTTCCACAAAGAACCATTCAGTCAAAGATTCTTTAAAGAACCATCTCTTTATAATCCGAAGAACCTTCTTTCGCCACAAAGAACCTTTAGTGAAACAGAAAGGTTCTTCAGATGTTAAAGGTTCTTTATGGAACCATTTAGACAAAAAGGTTCTTCTATGGCATCGCAAAGCACCTTTATTTTTAAGAGTGAAAGTGGTTGAATGTGAGATTACAATAGACAAGACTAGAGAGAAAGCAGACAAACTGGAAAATAATTAAAAGTGTGAGACCTGTTTCACACAGCATACATTATCAGGTGATTATTCTGGTTACAGAATTCACACTGCTGCCTAGTGGAGCTGCGAGTTTCTGCACAACGCATATTTCGGCTGTGCGCGTGCTGAACCCATATATGGTGAATATGGTGAAAATATACGATAGGCCAATTTAGAAACACAGTCTTTTCAAATATGCGATTTTTGAGGTAATATAAATTACATGAGTGAACTTCTCACACCTTGTGAAAAGATGCAAGCTGGGCTTGATGTACGTTTCACAGTTAGCATACTATTGAGTAAATCTGACAGAATCAAGGTGATGTAAGCATGGCTAAATACTTGATTCTTTTAGCAACTTCCATTGCAACATCGTACCGTAGAGATATCAGCTCACGGCACTACAGTCACGTCTCGTGCCACACCGTAAACTCGCGCTTTATACAAAAGCAAATGGCGTCAATGTGAGTCACATTTATCAATAGCAGTGAAAATCGCCTCAGAGAACTTAACATATTAACATTACCGCAGCGTTCATCTGGTTGCTACACTGATTGTTTTGTACATTCTAAAGAACTATTTTTTCGTATCAGAAGTTTTAAGTTATACATTTCACTTTTTTTACTCTGCTTAAAATTGCGGTATGAAACAGGCCAAAATGGGCAGAAATGTTGTCATTGGGGACACATATTATCACTCATGATTGTAAAAAAGGAGGGGTTTATAATGAACATAAGAAAAAAAGAAAAGAATAAAAATGTCTAATTAAATAAGGTAAAATAAACCCCCTCCTCAAAGGAAATTAAATAAATAAAGCAAGTGAGAAATAAATAAAAATGGAAATAAACAAAAAAAAAATGTTAAGTGGGTGCATTTTCAATAAAAGGTTTAATCGTGAAATGCAAGAGCTGTTGTGCATACAGGTTCGATTCCAGCCTGGTCTAGTTTTCCCGCTGCTATTTTCTGACTTTATTTTCTGTCCTTCACATCACAGGCACTTCACATTCTGGTTGGTTGATGGTTGTCCCTCGCATCCATGGTTACAAGGTTCAAAGAAACCCTCACTGAATGACAGCAAATGCTCACGGGGCTGTTTAGTGAGCTTCCACATGAAGGGCGCACTAGGCACTGATTGCATAAGCCGTATTCACAGCCTCCACTTCATTTGCATCTTGTGCACAGTGGCCAGTTTCCAAACCCAGAACCTACAACTTAACCAACTATTTGATCATTTGTGTGTTTAAATAAATTTGTGTGGCTAGGTTAGACTCAACACTTACTTTTATCTCGCTCTTCTAACCCCTCAGGGACAGATATATTATTCACTTTACCATGGAGAGGAGGTCATTAGATTTTATCTGGAAAATCCGGCATTGCATTTTAACGCAGCTGCTTACTGTGGTAGAACTTTTCTAAATGAGACCCATGTCCTATCAAGTGTGTCAAATTCCATTGCTATACTCTCATCATTATGAATACAAAGAAAACTGATTAACTAAATGACATCTTCTGGGAATAGTGACCATTAAGAAAACAAAAAAGGATGTTTTTTTCCACCATGTGTTTCTGTAGCTGGTCTTCATGGAGAACATGGCTGGATTTCTTGTTTCAGTAATTCAGTAATAGAGCAGTTGGACAAGGTTCGGTGCCGGTGTCAGCCTGCCATATGGGAGAGAGAACAATTATATTGTTCTTACCGCCTTGCCCGGCAGCAGTTGGATCTAAAACCTTGGCTTTTTTCATCATCTTGATGCAGTCCAATGGCTCAAGAATTCAGAAGCTTCTCTGGGTGGGAGAAAAGCAATATAAAAGGTCAATTCAATTTCGGTCTTATTAAACATTTGGATAGATAAAAAATGTTTGCACTATACAAGATGCAATTAAAAGATGTATGAAAAGGCAAATTTTATAAATCAGTCTGTCTGGGATATTCATCCCATGTGGTTTTGCAATACTTATCCTCATTAAGCAGACACCTCAAAATAGGTAACACTGAGCATTTGCACACTTAAATAACCTATTAAGTCCAAACAGTTTAGGAAAAGAGCAATTCAGGTGAAATAGGCACAAAGATGAAGCAAAGTAGGACGACGGTTATCCCATCTGTTGGGATGCGATGCAGTGTGACAGTGCAGTGCATTATGTTCCATTAGAGAGGCTTTGGGCCTAGTCAGCAAAACCTCCACGGCTCTAGTCATTCATCTTTTCAAATCCACTCATATATACGGTTCAGATCCAGTCAGTGTGTCCTCACTAGAATACTAGCACTAGCGTAGCACTAATATGGGATTTTGACATGTTTGGCTTTAACTGTCTCCTGCAGGGAGACATATTGGCTTTGAGGAGGAGAGCTGAAAATATGAGCATGTGTTCGAGATTTTTTGCTTTGCTCCAAAACCTAGTATGCTGTCTACTACAGGGGATGTCACATGGAATGTATGCATCCATTTGTGCTGTTTTAAATGTTTTTCAGTGTAAACAAACGGTAGACAGATGTCTTTGATTCATGTGCACTGCTTTTTAAGACACCGTGAACATGTGTGAAGCAAGAACATGTGTGAACTACCCCTAAGGCAGCGTCCTAACTGAAATGAAACTTCATAAGTGACTGAATTGGAACGCTCTGCAATTGATTTCAATACAATTTGGAGTTAGCATGTAGCCAAAACCACATTGTAGTAGTCAAGCAAGCATACAAATTCATAGCACACAGAAATGTTGGGCAAACATAATATATATATATTTAAATAAATCAGTCTATTTTCATAACATTTTTCAGTATTGAATTAAAAATGAACATTTTCACTGAGCACCCATTTCTGCTAATGAAGAAAAAATTTAAAAGCAAAAGCGTTTAACTCCCAATTTAGTTTATAAAACTCACAATTCTGAGATGAAAAGTCTGAATTGTGAGATTAAAAAAAAGTTGCAATTACCTTTTTTTATGATTTATTTTGTGTCTGAAACGGGCTTCCATAAATTACAGGATTATTTTCTTATTTAAGGATAAGTGCAATAATTTTGGCCAAACGAGGGGAAAAGCTGTCGGTAGGCAGTTGACTAGGTTTTGTACAGAGCTTGTTTATTTGGAATGATCTAGTAGTCTAGGGCCCTCGATGACTCTTGTCCCTCTCTTGCTGTTGACTCCTGCAAATGGTAGTCTCAATCTCATCTCAGATCCTGAGCGAATCAGGTTGTTTTATACAGTGGCTATCTTTTTCAATAAATAACTCTATGAAATTGCTTTCTATGCTACATCAGTCATCTGACCGAGTACCATATTCCATATACAATAGCATGCTGATTGGCCTCTTAGAGACACTGCACAGAGCATGATGAGTTATAAATGCAAGCGTTTTGTGGATCACAAGCTGCTAAAATCTGACATTTGAGTGTCATCCTTCAACATGCATGTGATTCATTGCACTCATCATTATGCGTGGTTTGGCTTGCCATTTTGGTTGGCGTAAAACCTGACAGTTATTATTTCAATTGGTTGCATCATTGAGAATAACACTATGGCAGTTATATTACTGCTTTAGATAGTAATAAAAAATTTGCTAGTAATGATAAACTTTAGATTAAACAAGTAAATGCATGTCAATGCAATGCACTCCATATAATGAAGTCCTGGTGACACTATAGTTAAATCAAGTTTAATGCATTTATGTTAGTTAACGCATTAGGCACCATAAACTAAAAATGAACAGCATTTAGATCAATGTTCATTTCTACATATACATTTATACCATTACAAGTAGCATAAATTAGCAATAGTTCAAGATTTATAAAATATCAAATGAACAGTGAACAATAGTATATTAACATTAATATGAACCTAGATCAATAAATGCTGTAACAATTCAGCTTATTGTTAGTTTATGAAAATGAATGCATAAACTAATGTTATAAATTGAACATTTTACCAAAAGTGTGATATCTATACTATACCAGTGGTCTCAACTGTTGGTCGTAACTCAAAAATAGGTTTCAGGTCTGTTCTGAATCTGAAAGGGTTGCGGACTGCAGGAGGAAAAAATGTAATGCTAAATGTAAATAATAAACTAAGTAACTAACTTTTAGGATCCTACGTGATTGCAAGATAGCCATATCAGTTTTTAATATTCTTCCTATATGTTTTGTTATTCAACAGCTGTGCTTTATTGTAGCACAAATGTATCTGTCATGTGGTAGAAGTAGCCAAATTAGGTGAATGCCAACACTTCATTTTGTGACATTACACATCACATCATCCCCAAAAACCATGAACAATATGATGTAAGGTAGAACAAAATAGACCAAGACTAGATTAAATACAGATCACTTCAAGCAAGAGTAAACATGGCTTGTGCCAACCACAATTTTTTTTGGTGAGAGCATGAAACCATCAAAATTCAAGCGGCTTTTACAAAACAAAATGGTCAATTTCCCTTCATTTTCTTTGATAGACGGTTTCGGTATGGCATTGGGTCAACACATGCCCAGTTTAAAATCTGGCTGCTAAAAGAAACTTTTTGAGAAACACCATTACACATTCTCTGATTACAGCAAAAGGTATTCAGAATGACAAATTATTTGAACACCCATGCCGGTTTGTAGCATGTCGTAAGCAGACCTTGGCTTCTGTTCATTTTGGAAAATG